GTACCTTGCCTCCCCCTGGCCTTCCCCCCAATGCCCTGCCTCCTGCCCCCCAGGACCCTGCCTCCCCCCGGCCTTCCCCCCAATGCCCTGCCTCCTGCCCCCCAGTACCTTGCCTCCCCCCGGCCTTCCCCCCAATGCCTCCCCCCGGCCTGCTCCGCCCAGCGGGCGGGGCAGGGCGGGTCCAGGGGCCGGGCTCCGGCTCCGGCTCCCCCCGGCGGGGCTGGGGCGGCTGCTTCCGCTGCCTGAGTCTGTCCAGCGCCGCGGCGGGTGAGGAGCAGCCAGCGAGCGAGCCCGGCTCGGCTCGGCCCGGAGCGTGCGGACCAGGTGGGAACGGGGGGCGCCCTTGAGAAGGGGGGTTCCCATGGGGGCGCTCCGGGGGGTTCCCGGAGTGGGGGAGGCAGAGGGGGTCCCTGTGGGCTGTGGGTGTCTTTGGGGAGACCTCCCCGCCCAGCTGCTGATCCCCTGCCCCCCTGCGGGGACCTGGCGGGCGGTGTTCCCCGGGGCTCTAACTGCCCCTTCCAGCTCCCGTCCCCAGCCGCCTGGACCCTCTGTTCCGCCAGTACCGCCCTGTTCTGCGTGGTGCCCCACACCTGTCCCCGGGCTGAGTCCGCCTGGGCAGGTCCAGGGCACCTGGGAGCAGAGCTACTCTGATGTTCTAGTCCGGGCCTGGGCCGTGGTGGGCAGACTGGCACCCTCCTTACCCTGGGTCCTGGGGGCACGGGGAACACTTCTGCATCTCCACGGCACAGTTCCTATCACCCAGTGGTGGCTTTGCCGTCTAGGGTGTAAACGCCTTGGGGCAGAGTCTCTGTCTCCTTTATAGATCGTATTGTGCTGAGCACGCTATCGACTCTCTAAAGACACAGACAGCCCCTTCCTTGCAAAATACTTGGGCACAGGGCAGGACCCAGTAGCTGGTGGGCTGGTGCCCTCCTTCCAGCTCTGTAAATTGGGGCATTGGCAACAAAAAATGTGAGCTGTATCTAGGTACTGTCCGTGCCTCCACAATGAGGCTGGTACGAGTTCTTTCTGACTTACAGAAATGCTGTGTCCTGGCTGTGAGCTGCCTCTTTGTTTTGGGACGCTGGGAACAGGGATTGTTATTTTTTTCTTTGTTCAGATTCCATCCTTTTAGTCTTAGCCTAATATAGTTAAAATTTCATGTAGATGATGGTATAGGCAGGGTGACCAGACAGCAAATGTGAAAAATTGGGACAGGGTGTGGGGGGTAATAGGAGCCTATATAAGAAAAAGACCCAAAAATTGGGACTGTCCCTATAAAATCGGGACATCTGGTCACCCTATGATGGTAGGACTTTGAAAAATATATTCACCAGTTGAAAGTAAGAAACTTTCCCTGTCCAGTATATGTGTGGGGTGAGGGGGGCTAAGCCATCAGCTTCTGCAGAATCTAAGATTTTATTTCATTAAAGAAGTTCCTTGCCCTTCTATGGTGAAGAAAACTCTGTAAATATGACTAGAGGCAGTGTTGGCGTTCCTGAGTCTACAGACAGCTACAGTGCCACAGCTGCTGCTATCTTTGACTGAGCTTTGAGTGAAATTAACAAGACTTTAGGCAGGTTCTCTGCTGCTCTTCAGAACTATGGTCAACAGTGAACTTGACAAGAATTTGTGGCAATTTAATTGGGAAAGCAGCAGAGGCACTGGGGAGGTGGATCACAAAAAACAGAGGCAGAGGGAGGGGTAGAATGTCACCTCTTCTCCATTACCCAGCACCAGAGGTTAGCAGGGAAAGATGGGGACTTGATTTCAAATGTATCAAATACCTTCCCCCCTGCCCTTCCCCCCCAATGCCCTGCCTCCTGCCCCCAGTACCTTGCCTCCCCCCACCAATAGCCAAACCCTGATATGAAAGCACCTTGCTGGGAATCTCTGCACCCTTTTCTTTTCCAGCAGTTGGTAAAGGGGACTTGGCTGGTGGAGTTACTCTCCCCAGCAAGTAGCTCATGAACGTTGATGGTGCTCACCTCTTCCCTCTGTTTTCATATAACTTCTGGTTAGTAAGTGTCTACTTAAAAACTTCAAGCTCTGTGTTTGCAGCATATTTCACAAGAGAGCTCAGGCGGTAATTTTAACAGTTTCCAATTTTCATGCACATCAACATTGGAGAAGAGAGTGTATGTTTATTTCCTGTTACACACATTTCTAATGCAACTGACTCTGGTTTTGCTTTTTCAACGGCTTTCACTTCATTTTAAAGTTTTGATTTTTATTCTTTCACATTTTTGCAAAACCAGTGACTACCTGTGACACTCTCCTTCCTTGGAGCTTGAATGAACTCTGGAAAATATAACCAGGGATGAATTTGGCCTCAAATGTCTAATTCTTTAATTACAATCTGTGTTTCTATCCCAGGGTAAGTTCTCAGTTAATTATTCACTTTTTATGAATTGTGACTTTGGCATTGCCCAGCCCTAGCAGGGAAAATTTGGAAAGGAAAATCTTTTTAAGGTGAGTTCTCAGTGTAATTTTCTTAAAGAGAAAGTGGGAATTAAGGGTCAAGGGGATGACTATGCTTTAATTTTGTAATAAAAGGAAGATGATTACACTGGAAATCTGGATTTATTTTTTGGAATGTTCCATAAGCTTTGTGGCATTTTCTGAAAGGAATATGAGAAAAGAAAGTATCCGTACACGGTTTCTCCCGAGAGTGCATATGCCTGCTCTAGTGGAATTGTGATTGTTAAAGTCCTGAGCCTTAAACTTCATCCTTAATGAAGAAGTCCAGAAACCAAACAACAGAGTCAGAAGCTAAACCTAAATCAAATGCTTAAACGGAGTTGCTCTGAGAAGGTGTTAGTAGTGGGGGGGCATTTTGCACACATCCAGACGGCACAGTGAAATCAAGAGGCTTTGGCCTTCCTATGACTGGTTATTTTGAGCCCTCAGTTATTTGGTTTTCTAAAATTCACCTTGCTGTTTCTTTTAAAATAAGACAACAGAGAGTTTGCTGCTATAAGCAACAGATCAGTATCTATTCAAAACGTTTTTATTAAAAACCACTTAACCTCACCTACTGCTGTATTCTTAGCTGTTCAGGGAATGCTTTTGACTTGGGTATGTCACCCCTTTTTCAGCTGGGAAGTGTTTCATACTGGCTTTGAAATTACACATGTTATGATCCCTCTTCCAAGGGGAGTGGCGGAAATCCCATTACCAGAGACATTTTAAAACCAGCCTGGACAAAGCAGCAGACAGCACGTTGTGAGGAACAGGCCTGCCCTGACCCGAGGCTGGACTAGATGTGACGTGATGTTTTCCCAGCTCTGACTTGTAGGCTTCTACACTGAGCTCTGGCTGTTTAGGTTTTTATTTGCTCTGTTTATCATTTTAATGCTTTTAAAACTGTAAGCCAAAGCTGCCAAATTAAAAAAAATTCAACTATCCCCAACTGTTCATTTTTGGAAAAGCATTTGATTGACTATTGCATGAGGAGTCTTTAATGCTAAAAACCTGCCTTCTACATGAAAAGCTAAGTGATATGTTGAACTCACAGCCCTTCCGTGACTTGCTTTATCAAGGGACATTATAGCTTCTTGGTGGACCAGTGCAGCAGGCACATGACAGGAAAGAGGGAGTTTGCCATTTTTTGCCATCCTGTTCTTCATCTGTGCAATTTCCTCCGCTTTGGGATGGGGACCACGTGGTTGCCTGCTCCTTGCTCACGCTGGCTGGTTGCTTCCACAGAGCTCCCGACAGTGCTAGCTGCTAGCATTGGTTTAACTTTTTCTTGTATAGGAATCACATGGACAAAAAAAGTCCCCTAGAATTGCAGGAGTGGTGGAAGGAGGCTTCTGAGAGCATTAGTGACTCTTTGAAACTTGCGCTGCCTGAGGATGCAGGGGGATTTGGGTTTTGGTCCACTCAGAGCGTAGGACTGCAGAGAATACAATTAATAGCTCTTCTGTGTGCAGAAGTGGCTGCTGGAGCTTTGGGAGCACAAGGCAAAAAGCACAAACGGGTGGGATGGACTCTGCTCCCCTGGGTGGGTAATGCTGGGACCATGCCATAAAGACTGACTGGAGCTGGTGGGGCCTTAAGCTCCTTGCAGTAAGCATCATGCTCTCAGTTGCTGGACCATCACATTCTCTCCAGCTTGAATGTTTCTAAGGCACCTGTCACCAAGGTATCTTGGTGGCACTGGATGTTGTATCTATGAGTCCTTCAGAATGTCACCCCAGGAGCTTAGTGCTGACTGGTCGGCTAACGGTCAGGCCAGTTCCCTGACTGTTGGCAGGATGCTAGGTCACCAGCCTTCCCTCCACCAGACTGGTGACTGGCCCCCTGCAGGGTTTGCAGCCGTCGGCAGCATGCCTGGTGTCAGAGCTCTGCTTCCTGTTTACCCTGCAGCCCATTTCAGAAGAGACATTGGGGTAGCCCCGCTGGCAGAGCATGCAGCAGGCAGCTGGAGTGGCTCAGTTCTCTGGAGTCATCACAGGCAGCTGTCGTCTTCCCAGTCTGCGTTGTTGTAGTTTCTTTCCTCTTGCCTTTACGTTGACTCGGAACGTTAGCCTTGTGCAGCTCTAGTGTGTTCACTGATGATAGAGTTCATTTCAGAAGGGGTTTCGACATTCACAAGGTCAATAAGAAAAACATCCACCGTTACTCAGATAACCACTCATAAGGGCTATAAATCTGCCAGCTTCAATGCACAAGCCAACTCCAATTTGCTGGGGTCAAGAAGAAACTTCCCTACAGAGAAGTTACTGCTGAAGTGGCCACTGCAGGGTTCCTTGCACCTTCCTCAGAAGCATTTAATACTGGCAAAATAAGACAGGCCTCTCTGCCCACCTGGCTTGCCCGATAAGGCACTTCCTACAGCATATTCCTAATTCCAGTTACATCCACGCCATTGTATGGCCTTCCTCTTCCTGCATGCCTCAGAGGGAAAACGAATAACATGATTCCTCAGGGCTCAAACTAACTCTTCTTCTAGGGAAGATGCATTTGTGGCAGCCACAGCAGTGGTGTGGAAAATGTTTGTGGGGCCAGCTGAGTTGTTTCTGTTCATGCTCATGGGATTCCTGCTGTACTTGGCTTGCACAAAGCCATGCTTGCAGGGCCCTTGTCGCCCCAGCAGCTTTGGGCAGGAGGACTGCAAGCCTGTGAATTGTTTGGCCTCTGCCTGGCCTTCCATGTCAAGGATTCCTCAGACAAAGGGGTTATTTACAGACAACTGGGGACTGACTAATGGCTTTGAATAGATGCCAGCCTTCTGCTGGAGACGCCTGATTCGACAGCTGTCCTAGTGACTCTTGTCGATGGCTCCAGTAAGGAAGCCATCAATCCTTCACTGGGATTGGGCTACTTTGGCATGTCTGCCATTCTGAACTTGCCAGAGCGCGCCGCCCTCCCCCCCATAGAGTGCCAGCTTGGGTTGGAAAGAGGGATGTGCTGGTGACAGTCACTGTTCCCTTTGCTGACTGGAATGTCTCCCTCTTGTTTCCTGTGTTTAGCTAATTCTGCCTATGTGAGACACTGCAGTGAAACTGAACATGTTTTATCCCAGCAACATCCATCAAAAAAACTTTAAACAAGAAACTTCACCTTGGTTTTCTCGAATTTTGGAAAACATCTAAAAGGGGGCATCTGGGGTGGCGCAGCGAGAAAGGAGAGGTCCACGGAGTCAAGAGTCTTACTGGGGTGAAAGGAACAGAGAAATCTATAGCAGCAGTCCTGAACTGTAGCTGGGAAGGGAGCAGAGCTCTGGGAAGGGGAAATGCCACTTGCTGCAGTGGCAATTAGAGAAACTAGTACCCAGGTTTGTGGCAGTTTGGAATTACTTTTAAAGTCCATTTATTCAGTGTCAGAGTCCCTTCCTTAAAAA